CACTTCCCGCCTGACTTCAGTCCAGCCGCTGTTCTCTGGGTTCATGGAATACACACAGAGCTCCTCCACCACCTGCAGGAGACAGCCCCGTCAGCCAGCGCCGTGCCCACAGCCCCCGGCCCCGGCCTGGCCAGCGCGTGGTTGATGTTCCGGGTGTACGTGGTCATGGTGCGGGCCTGCGGGTCCACGATGGAGTCTTCCAGGACGTACACCAAGCGGGCGGCGTTGGCCGGGAAGAAGCGCTCCGCCCACCGGGGCATCCTGTTGGTCTTGGTGAGGAGCCGCCTGGAGAGCAGCTTGTGGTCTGCGGTCACCTCCCGCTGGACAAGGTCTTCTGTCGGTTGATGTTCCGGGTGTACGTGGTCATGGTGCGGGCCTGCGGGTCCACGATGGAGTCTTCCAGGACGTACACCAAGCGGGCGGCGTTGGCCGGGAAGAAGCGCTCCGCCCACCGGGGCATCCTGTTGGTCTTGGTGAGGAGCCGCCTGGAGAGCAGCTTGTGGTCTGCGGTCACCTCCCGCTGGACAAGGTCTTCTGTCAGGACATGCTTGCTGGGGAGAGGTGGGGGAGGGCGCACGTCAGGCTGGGCCTCGGCTCCAACAGCCCCACACAGGCAGGGCCTCTGCTGGGACCTGGAGAGCCCCGGTGCTGCAGGGAGAGTGGGCCAGCTGCAGGAGGCGCTCGCCCTGCAGCCCCAAAGCAGCTCGACACGGAACCATGCCAGGGACACCCCAGGCTGCGCTGCTGGAGGCGCAGTGACCCTGGATATTGGGGGTTTGTTTCACAGAAATCCCAGGGCAGCCAGGCCGTGTCAGCATCCCCAGTGCCCCCCACAGGCCGTCCCCTCCCAGAGAGGGGAGCAGGTGGGTGGCTCTCAGCAATGGCTGGCCCACCCTGCCTTCAGCTCCAGGCCAGGCCGGGTGGGGGCTGGGGAGTGGGGCAGGGCCGGCTGGGTGGGGTGTGCACAACCCCTACCCCTGGCACTCCAGCGTGGAGCACCGAAGTGAGCCCCGGAGCGGCCGGCCCGGGCGCTACGCACACACTGACTAGCTTGGCCAGCTGCAGTCCCTTCCTGGCCCTGAGCGCTGTGACACCGCTGGGCCGCTAGCCAGCACTACTGCGCCCGGCAGCAGCTGGCGTGGGCAGGGCAGCAGCCGGGTGCCAGGGTAACGCTGTAGGGCACGCTGGGACGCAAGCCGGCGACCTGTCCTCACCCCTCACCAGGGGACGATCGCGCATCTGGCCAGCCAGGCCTGTGAGCTAGAGGGCACCGAGGCAGGACGCAGTGCGGGCTGGGTGGGCTCTCAGCAGGCCACACGGACGTGGACTGCCTCAGTCTCCACGGGCAGAGGACCAGCCCCCCCCTGCAAAGAGGCAGGGCAGCAGCTGGCCAGGAGCGCTGGGCTGGCCCTGGGGTTTCTCAAAGCTCTCGAGTCACACGTGGGACAAGGGGATGAGGGTCGTCCCAGCCCCCTCTGCCAAGGCTGGCTCCACCAGGACAGGGACCTCGCCCCCGGCCACAAGCCGCCAACAAAGCTGGGGAAGCAAAGACCCTGTGGGACCCCACTGGTCCTGGCTTCCACCAGGGCCCACAACGGCCCCCTGCAATCGCTCCTGGGCATGGAGACCCCCAGCCTGCTCCAGAGGAGCTTAGAGGGCCTGGGGGGAGGGTCGGGGGGGGGTCCCCACACACCAGTAGGGATTGGTGTATGGGGGATCCCAGGGGGAGGATCCAGAGGGGTGGGGGGTTCCCGTGCACCTATAGGGGTTGGGG